TATGTTAGATTCTATAGATTTACAGTAGGCAGTTGGATATGAGTCAAATTTAGGCGAAGAGGCCTAGACAGGAGATTTACATTTAATATATTAAAACATGAAGCTAGGTAGGATCACTAAGGTTGAGTGTGGATAGAAAAGAGGTCCCTGAGGGACTCCATCGTGAGGTTGGGAGATGAAGAGGAAAACATGGAGGTCACTGGTGACTTGATGGACTATCACTGGAAGGTGGGGGATGGTGTCTGGATGTAGGGAAAAGTGGGAAGAAAGACATTGGAGACATTGAGCATCGACTGCCCTATTAAGATGGGTGAAACAGTGGATGTTTGTGTGCTAATGGGAGGAAAACTGAGTATGCTAAATGGGTCCAACGTAGTCTAAAGAAGCTGCCCATATAGGAGCATGGGTGGCATATAGTTACAGGAACTGGTAGTTCATAAAGAACTAATAAAAAAAAAAAGCCCCATAAAGAAGTTTTAAGCAAAGTAGTGTGAGATAGAAGGGACAGATACTTTCTGTTATGGGAGATTTGAAATGGCTCAGAGGAGGAGAGTTTGAACTAGGCCTTTAAGAAAGGGTGAGATTTTCAACATGTGAGAGAGGAAGAGTATTATAGGCAGATGTCAGGGAAAAGCAAGTACAGAAAGCACAAATGATCAGGAAGTTACCAAGAGTCATTTGGTGTTGAATAATGTGGAAGGAAGGGGCTAAAGGAGTGTCCTGGGGCCATGTCATGGCCAGCCTTGGAACAAGAAGTTAACAGTGCAGCTACTGGACTGAATTAGGTGACTAGCTAGGACATAACAATCATCCAGGTGAGGCTTGGTGAGGGAAGGATGGAGAAATTTCATAACTGATTAGGATGAAAAGCACAGTATTATAAGGGTTACGCCCCGTGGATTCAAATGGTCCTCCCACTCTTTATTTCTCACTTCATTTCCTCCTTTCTCTAATGAAAATGATCTCTGGGGCCCATGGTTGTAATCACTCCCAGAGAGATGTTCAGTTTAGAAAGGAGCCAGCATTAATACTTTGGCACTCAAAGATGTTAGGACGGAAGAGAAAAATCTCTTCTTGCTCTGGATTCCTCTGCTTCACCTGATATGATTCTGTTCCCCTCAGACTTAAGCAGAGTGCCTGGCACCTACTGAGCATGCAAAAATACTAGTTCCCTCCTCTCAACCTCCAGGTTTTCCATTCTGCTCTTCACAGCGTGAGACAGCAGCCCCTTCGGCCCTTCCTAGAAATCTACCATATTGTATTGCAAAGGCTTAGCGAGAGGGCTCTTTCCCTTACCACCCCTGCTAGGTGCTTTCTATCAAGATCCCATTGTCAAACCCTCTTGTGGGTGAAAGGAAGGACGTGAGCCACACTTTTGTAGCCCCTGTCAACCTTGCCCTTAGCGTCACTAATGTCTGTCTCTCCAGTTGCACAGATTGGGGAGTTAGAAGGATCAAGGGGCCACTAGGATCAAGGGGATGCTAAGCATACAGTCTTGAACTTGGATTAGTGGGACTAGGCACTGGGCCCTGGCTGTCTTCCTTGGGGAGGGGATACATTTAATGGAGAAGCTAAAAGGTATTTCATCCCTACACTCCCAGCAAGGTCCTGAGGCCCAGGCCAGAAGCTTTGGAATTCTTTGGAGCCTTGGAGTCATCGATGCAAAGTCTAACCCCTTATTTTCTGGGATTTGAATTGACTTAACAGATACAACCTCAGATCAGGGACTCTGACACCCGCTGAAATCTGTCTGGCCCAGTGCTGGCTGTGGTAACAGGTAACTTCCCGGGCCAGTGGTGTGTGAGTGCAAGTGGAGGCTCTGGGCTAAGACATGGAGTATGTCTGGGATGATGACACTCCCTTCGACACCGCTGCTCAGAGAGCCAAGTCTGCAGGGATTTTGCTTGCTATACTTACCCCACTGGGAAGAACCTCTTGCTTTTATTTGTTTTTTTAATGCCTGATACCCCACCCCCACCCCCTTTCCTGCCATGTCCACACAGATGACTATCCACATGCTGCCTGCCTTACTGGTGGTTCAGCCCCTGCTAGGGAGACAATGTCTGGAGTGTGGCCAGTGGTGGGGCTAGAGGTAGGGAGGGTGCTGAATACCCAACTTTCAACTTCCTTCCCCATTGCCCTGCCCTGCCCTGCCCCTCCCTCTGTAGTCACAATGAGGGGAGAAGAATCTAGCAGACTCAATGTCCCCAGTAGAGCCACCAGCATAGCAAGTTAGAAAAAATCCCAGAGTAGGGTAAGTCCAGAGCCAGATGTTGCCAAAAAGGACAAGGAGATGAGCCAGGTCAGGAAAGTGAGTAGAAAGGGATTGAGCAAGAAAAGGAAAAACATTGGAGGCTGGGATAAAGATTTCCTCTGGAATGGAAGTTGAGATCCACTTTGGACTGTGCAGGCATGGGAAAGAAGTGGCTGGGATCATCTGAAGGGCCTGAGCTCTGGGCAGCCCAATGACAGCATGACAATGGGGACAGGGAACCGGGTGGGAGTGGTGAGAATGAAGGCTCCCTAGATGGCCTGCACTGAAATAGAACTGGCCTGGGAAGGAGGGTGGAGAAGAAGCAAAAGCAACAGGCCAGACCAGGGACAAAGGAGACGGCATAACAGCTGGGTGGGGGCTCTGGGGACGGAGAGTTTTCCCTGCTCTCTTGAAAGTGACTTTGGCCACAGCTCCCTCTCTTGTGAGGGATGGGCTGAGGAGTATAGTGCAAAGTGGGCCTTGACCCAGGAGGCCTTGACTGCTGGTCCTACCTAAAGCAGGAGAAGCAGGAGGCTGGTTCAGCCCTGGGCTCACTCTGAGGAGAGGAGGTCACATCGGGGGAGCCCTCTGCTCTGTGCTAGAGATACGGAAATGAGTAACGAGAATAGTTGCCACCCTCACAATGTGAAAGGGAAGGTAACCATGCACTGAAGTGACTTGCAGAATAAGTACTGTGGTTTTGGGTAGAGGCACAGATAAGGCCTCTGAGAAGGGCTTCATAGAGGAGATGCCCTTTAAAACCACCTGGTGAAGGACAAGCAAGTTAGCCTGAGGCAGCGGGGGAACCAGATTCCCCTGGAAACAGCACATGCAAAGACCTAGTGGCATGGAAAAAAAAAAAAAAACTCAAGCTTGGAGCACTCAAAGTCACTCATCCTGGAGGATAAAGTGGGTAGTGAGAAGTACCCAGAAATGAGGCTGAGCAAATCAGTTTGGGGTCTAGTTGGGCAGGGCTGGGCCTTTAGAGCCTGGGGAAGGCAGGAAGAGAGTGACAATGAAGTCACCAGGCTCACAGACAGATCCTGCACTGGCTCCTCTGTGTCCTTGGGACCCCAGGCAGCATTTCCTTGCAGCTGCAAGCTACAGCCTCCAGGCGGGAAGAGGAGGTGAGGAAGGGGGCTGAGGGACAGGCTGGGCAAAAGCAATGTGCAGAGCTGGGAACAAGAAAACAAAGCCAGATTCTTCCCTTGGATGAGGACAGCTTCCCCTGCAAACCAACACCTGCTAGCAGCCTCAGATGGGGCGCCTGAGCCGCCTCTCCCTGGCCAACTGAAGGAAACTAGGAGTCGTCACATTCAGAGTGGAAAGGACTCAAAGAGGGGCAAGGCGGTCAGCCCAGAGCCAGGTCATGGTGGGGGGAGGCGAGGTAGGAACCCGAGAGGGCAGAGGTGTACAGCATGGGGGAGGTGGCTTTTGGCAGGGGTTCCTACACGTCCCTGGAAAGGCGCAGCCATGTTTAGGGATATGCCCAGAGGGCCATATAGAGGGTGAATAGAGTGTGTGAGCAGAAGCCAGGGACTGAGGGCAGCTGTGGCCTGGAACCCGGTATAGAGTCAAGTCCTGGTATAGAGTAGAGTTGATGATCCTGCCCTCTCCTCTCCCCAAGGCCTGGCCAGGATGCAGGGGAAAGTATAAAGTGACTGTGATTGTCCCCTGGTCAGATTAGTCTTGCCCCAAACTGTGTTTAGGGACACACTGCTGCTCCTCAGCACCCTCTCTGACCAGGAACACAGAAGGACTCTCTGGGAGCATTGGGAGGTGGGGGCACGGGCAGAAAGGAGGACCCCAGTGGGGGACAAGACTAAGAATGTGGCCTTTGTTTCAGGGGCATTGGCAAGGCTACCTGCGATCCTGTGGGGTGTGTGTGCTCCAGACCTAGGGGTGTGTGTCTGGCGCTCAGAGGTGGCGGGCAGTGTGCCGTGTCAGCACTGACGGAAGGGCAGAGGGCTGGGAAGTAAGTCCTCTGAGGCCATTTGGGAAGGAGGATTTCACTGTGCTGTTTTAAGGGTTGGGTAGAGGAGGCAAAAGGCAGGCAGGGGCATCCTAGTAATAGTACTAAGGGGATGACTGCAGTTGAAGCGTCTTACCCTACACCTCTCTAGCATGTCACCCCTCCTCTGGCAGCACCAGGCTGAGCCCCAAGACCACCTTTCATATGAGAGGGGCTTCACAGATGCCCCACCCCATCAGGAGGGAATGGATTTTAGGGGCATAGCCCCGGCACCTTTGGGCCATGAGCCCTGAGGATGGCGGGAGGCAGGAGGAAGGGACAGGTGCGGAGCCTGGCCCAGACTCCAGCGACTAAGGCCTTAAGGAGCACAGAGCAGACCAGAGGCCTAATTCTTCTCAAACCAGCAGGACCTGATTCCTTCAACTCTGCCCCTTGCCAGGAATTGGAGGGTGCTTAGGGCTGACTGTGAGGGAGAGCTAGGGTGCAGGGGTGGGAGTGCTCCCTAGAGCAGGTCCTCAGGCAAAGAGGCCTCAAGCACCGATTCTGCAGCTCAGCCTGCAGCTCAGCCGTGTGGCTGCCTTCCTCCCCCACAGCACGCATATATCATCCCTCCCGGAACAGGCAAGTTCGCCACGCAGCAAGTCACAGCCCATCTGGGTGATATTTTTATAATGTACAAAGACGTGTTCATACCTATTGTCTGCTCTCATCCTCCCTACAGCTCTGTGAGGTAATAAGGGTCAGTATAAATGTGTTAACAGAAGAGACCAAGGCTCAGAGAAAACACTTTTTTTAGTACTTTTGCCTCAGGTCACATAGTTAGCGCCTGCACTGCAGGGGTGCTAGTCTGGTGTCTGCTGAGCTTCTGCTGTGATCCAGGCAGTGTGCCTGACCCCTAGGTACATGATGTCCTTTAACCCCACAGCAGCCCCGCATTATCCCCATTTCACAGATAAGAAAAGTGAGGCTCAGAAAGGTCAAGCAACATGCCGAAGCTTACACAGTGACGGAAATGGGTCTCCAATCCTGTCTGCTTGACTACAGATGTAGTGCTCACACCATGGGCTGGCGGAAGTGCCTTAACTGTGCTGGGTGGGGAAGTCACCTGAGATGGACTGACGGCTGCTCTGGAGAAGGCAGACAGGCCCCTGCTCCCCAAGAGACAGGCTATGTGCTCTCGCTCTTGTCCAGGCCATGCAGGAAAGGTTGGTGTGACCTGGGAAAGATGCAGGAGACTGTCCCTCACAAGGCCCTGGGGGAAGGTGAGGTGGGGGCAGAGCCAGGTCTCTATTCCTCAGGGCAAGTTTGGGTTCAGAGATCACCTTGAGGGATGGGGTGCAGAGGGGTGCCTGAAGGAGGGGGGAAAGAGAGATCCCAGTCCTGGTAAAGGACTGGGTCTGAAAGGTTGGAAAGAGAAAGGAAGGAGGGAGACCAGGCAGGCCTCATCAGCCATGCCCAGCAGGGACGGGTTCCTGCTATAGTTGGGGATCATCTACAGACACACTCTGGCCACAAAGAAGCAGTTGGAGCCCTCAGCAGATGCCTGGGCCAGTTAGGTGGCCCCAGTACCTGCCAGGGAAGTGGGCCAGGTGTGGGGTGGGGCTGCATGCCAGGCAGGGCAGCAAATGGGCTTTCAGCTTCTCTACACGTCCTAATTAACCATAACAGGAGTCCCAGAGGCAGAATTAAGCTGTCAGTTTCTTTCTGCTTACTTCCACTATCTCCTACCCACAGGCATTCCCATTGAGTCCAGAGGGGAGGGAAGTAAAGATTGGCGGGGAGGGGAAATGAATTACCATAACCTTTCATTAGCAAAGCATGACATAGTGGGTGGGGCCACATCAGCCCTCTCAAGACCCTGGCAAAATTCCTCCATCTGACAGTCACATGCCATTTGTCTGTGTAGGGACATGGATAATATGGGAGGACAGGGTTTTTGTTGTTCCTCTTGATTTGGCATTGGAGTGGGTATGGACAATTTGTGGGGTAGTATGAAAAGCACAAGGCTGGAAGTCATTTGGAACTGTTTCAATCCCAACTCTGCCATTCTGTGACCTTGAATGAGTTGCTTAACTTCTTTGAGCCTATCCATGTAAAATATTAATAAGAGTAACAGCAACCACTTTTAGGGTGTCATGAGAAGGAATTAAGAACACAAAAGTGAAGATGCCTGGCACCTGTGAATTACGTTGGCAGCAAACGTCACTTCCTAATTGTTTTGTTCTGGCCCAAGTTAAAATGAGTTTTTAGTCCCTTGAATCTCTTCTGGTTAACCAATGGTTAAAAATCTGCTTCTTTGTTTTCCTGGATCCTCTGGAGGTCAGCAACTGGGTCCCTTTCATTGCTCTGTTCCTTAGCATCAGGAGGTGTTCATAAAAGTTTTGTTCCATCAATCTGAGCTGCTTTGACCAGTCCACAAAATAGATGAGTGCAGATGAATGGGCTTCTTGGCTTGGTTTCCTATAGAATTATTCCAGACTTGGAGCTGGTGTCATCTTGAATAATTGTCTGCATGGCTTCTCCACCACCCAGCAGCACACATTTCCTTCCTCTCACAAATCAGCGAGTAGGTGGAATCTTCACATGCACATTGTCCATACACACACACACACACACACACACACACACACACACACACACACACACACACGCCATTACCACCACCACCACAACCAAAGGCAGCCACAGCCAACAAACATTCCTTCACCCAAGACCAAATGTCAGAGTTCTCTGGAGAGACAGGAGGGATTGGCAAGGGCTGGCTCTTCTAGAAAGAGCTAGCTCAGTAGGTAGGTAGAGAGGAAAGGACAGGAGTTGGCGAGTCAGATAACCCCCTGGTTCAAATCTTGGTTCTTTCATTTGCAAGCAGCCCCATGTGGCCAGTTTAGGTGAGCGCTAAGAATTTCCACTGAGGTATCTGGAGAACAGTGCCTTCTAGAGTTGTTCTAAATTAGAGAGATGTGCACACTACCTGGCAAATAGCAAGTGCACAAAACAACAAAAATGAGCGCTTTCCCCACCAAAAACTCAACACCTACCACTTGACTGTGTGTGGATTTGAGGGTGACCCTAACCACCCTCAAATGGTCGCTGCGCACCTCCAACTCGAGCTCTAAGCCCACTCCCTCCCTCTCCGCCGCTGGGGGCCCAGGAAGCAGGCGGAAGAGCCTTTCTTGTTATTTTTCTCTTCTCCAATTTGCTATCAACGCTTAGAGGGCAGGAAGGCGTCTTGCCTCTAATTGCAGCTGTCACACCCAGTCATGCCGGAGGGCGCCCGGCCGGGAGGGCAGAGGGGAGAGGGCGTGTCCTCCCGCGCAGGCTCAGCCACACAGGGACCCGCTTTGTCTTTTCCCAGCCAGTGGGCGTTCCCTGCCGGAGCGGGGGACGGCGGCTCGCGCAGCGCGGGCCGGGGCTGGCCCAGATCCGCCGGCGGCTCTCCCCGAGCCACGTGCCCAGAGCGGCTTTAGAAAAGCTGGGGCTGAACTACCGCCCCCCGCTCTGCCCCTCCGCCCAGGCCGACTGCGGGGCGAGGGGGGAACCTGAGGCCAAGGGCAGCGCCTAGCGGGGAGGGGCCGCGGAAGGGAGCTAGGGGTGTACACAGGAGTGGGTATTCCTTCTGCGCTGGTCGTCTCCTCACCGGTGAATTTCCATGTTAACCTGCCCCGGGTGGGAATTCAGTGCAGGAGACAGGGCCTTGGGGAGGGGGCTCCAAGGACTGCGGGGGAGGAGCATAGGTAACTGCAGGGCTCAGCTTCCACTCTGCAGTCCGGCCTGCCCCGTTCCACCTCCTCCTGCCAACGGTGTTCCTGGACAGGCAGCAGATCTGGGCTTGTTTCCTTACATGGAACATGGGCTAACGCCCGCCCTGGGTGCCCACTCATTAGAAACATGAGACCATGTTTCTGAAAAGGCTTTCTCAAAAGTGCACAGTGCCACACCGATATCCTTCCTCCCCTGTGCATTTGGGGGGAGGTGAGGAATGCCAGGGGCTTCCCCGGCTGCTCCTTACACACTGCACTCATTCAGCTCTGCGCTCAGGGTCCAGGTCTGGGCTGAAACCTCAAAGGCAACTTAAAAAAAAAAAAAGGTGCGGTTTTGCCTCCCTGCTGCTCCAACTCGCAGGAGGGCTGGAGTTCAGTCCCTGTGCCTGGAGCAATGCCTTGCTGGGGAAGCAGACAGTTATAAGGTTAGGGCCACAGAGACAGGTCTTTACTGGGGGCCTTTCTGGGGAACCTGGGGCTCTGGTGCTCTTTTCCAGACAGAATGTTCAACTGAGGTGTTGGGGGGCAGTGGAGGAATGTCAGAGGGATTTCATGGTCTTCTCCTTCTGCCCTCCCCTACTCTCACCTCCAGCCCCAAAGTGAGCAACACACACACACACATTCATTCTCTCTCTCTCTCTCTCTCTCCAGGAACTCTTACCTCCCCACCCCACCAGCCAGCCCCTGAGACAGCCTCTCCCAACCACATTCCTTTCAGCCCTGTGCTGAGAACTCTGGCTTCTCCCTCCCTTCTAGGGAAAATGAACTTGGACTTGAGCTCTTGAAAGCCATCCTGCCTGCCCTCCCTCCTCTCCAGGGGCCTGGCCCTTTCAGGTCAGTCAACTTTCTGTCTCTAGGATTCAGACCCAAACAGCTGTGTTAATATCAAAGCCAGAGGGTGAGGGCTCCAGGGCCTTGGGGCAATTTGTGGAGGGATTTTCCCCTCGTCTGTGCTCCCCACTGCCTGGGAATCGGAAATGTCCAGAGCCCTTGGAATGGCTCCGCTTCTTGACCTTCTGGGAGCGTCCTGATCGGGGCTCAGGGACCACAGGTGTCACCCAGCCTGGTTTCTCCTTCAGCAGCCGGTCCCGGTCAGGCCGCACGCTACGCAAGAACTTCCTAAAGATGTTTGCTGTGAGGGCAAACCTGCGGCTCAGCTCCCGGGGCTGGCCTTTCTCTCCTTTGGGCTCGCCCGCCCCCCCAGTCTCACCTTTCTCCCCACCTTTCTCCAGTTCTGGCAGGTCTAGCCAGTTTCCCACCAGGTCCGCAAAAACGTTGTCCCCTAATACCAGAGGCTGTCGATTCCGGCCCCGGGACATCAATGTGGCCGTCCAGTCATCTGGTTCCACCTGCTCCGGCCCCTGCTGGACACAGCTCTGGTGCAGCAGCTGTGTCCTGGGCAGGGGGGCTAACTCCCTCCCACAGACTCTCCTATGGGCCGGAAGCTTGCTGCTGCCAAGAGAAGGCTGACTGGAAGGAGGGCTGACCACGGGCCTAGCAGGACTTCTGCCGCCCTCCCATCGAGGGCGGTCGGGCTGTGTCCCAGGACTTTCAGGGCAGCCTGGCACAGGCCCCCCTCCAGAGATCTCCAGCTGTTCCAATGCTGTCTGCACCTGTAGGAGCTTCAGTTCTTGCAGCGCACCCATCATGCAGTTCATCTGATCCTGTAAGCCATCGCCCACCTCTTTCATTGACATCTGCAGGGGAGAGAGGAAGCACAGGGCCAGTGACCCATGGAGGGCAACAGGGAGGGCTGACGCTCACAGCCCTGAACCCAGATCCCCACCAAACCCACGCTTCCAGGGCCATCCAGTTTGCCACTAACCTCTCAACAGACTACTACAGTGCAAATCAGTGCTGGATAAAGGAAATAATACTAATGGCAAATAACTAGCTAAGGTAGGCACTGTCCTAAGCTATACATATAAGCTATATATATATATTTAATCTCTCCAACTACCCTACCGGTAGGTAGTGACTATTGTTGTTCCCATTTTATGGATGAGGGCATTTAGGCACATAAGTAACTTGCCCAAAGTTAGACAGTAAGAGGTAGAGCTGAGGTCATCCTGAAGGCGCACGAAGTTGTAGGGACCATCCTTGTCCTTTTTTGTGTCTGAACCCTCTTCTTCTCTGAGCCTCCCTGAAATGATGATGGTGGCAGTAACAATTTGTGAGCATTTACTATGTAGCAGGAATTGTGCTGAGGACTCTATGCACTTCATCTTATTTAATCTTTATTAAATGAGGTTGCTATAATTATTTTAAGTAATGAGTAAACTGTGGTAAGGGTAAAGTAAATTACCTAAGGTCACACATCTCAGAGAACTCAAACACAAGACTGTCTCACTCCAAAGGTTGTAGTCCTAACTACCAAATACAGGTTGAGCATCCCTAATCTGGAAATCCAAACTTTGAAATGCTCCAAAATCAAAAACTTTTGGAGCACTGACATGGTGGTTTTTTTAGAGACACTCTAGCTCTGTTGCCCAGGGTAGAGTGCAATGGTATCATCATAGCTCACTCCAACCTCAAACTCCTGGGCTCAAGTGATCCACCTTCCTTAGCCTCCTGAGTAGCTGGGACTACAGGCATGTGCCACTACAGCCAGATAATTTTTCGATTTTTCTGTAGAGATGGAGTCTATGTTGCCCACGCTGGTCTCGAACTTCTGGCCTCAAGTGATCCTCCTGCCTTGGCCTCCCAAAGAGCTGGGATTACAGGCATGAGCCACCATGCCCACCCCAACAAATTTCATGTTTGAACTTGGGTCCTATACCTTAAGACATCTCATTGCATATATGCAAATACTCCAAAATCCAAAAACATCTGAAATCCAAAACACTTGCTCCAAATGCTTGGTCCCAAGCATTTCAGATAAGGGATGTTCAAGCTGTGCTGCCTCCAGATGGCTGGGAAGTAGCTCTGGGTTTTAAGGCTGCTCTGTCCTCTATAGCAGTGATCCCCAACCTTTTTGACCAGGGACTGGTTTCATGGAAGACAATTTTTCCATGGACCGGGAGAGGTAGGGGTGGTTTCAGGATGATTCAAGTGCAAACCTCTCTGCTAATGATAATCTGTATTTGCAGCCATTCCCCAGCACTAGCATCACTACCTCATATCATCAGGCATTAGATTCATATAAGGGGCGTGTGCAACCTAGATCCCTCGCATGCGTGGTTTACAGTAGGGTTTGTACTCCTAGGAGAATCTGATGCCCCTGCTGATCTGACAGGAGGCAGAGGTTATGCAGGGCACTTATGCGATAGGGAGTGGTTGTAAATACAGATGAAGCTTTGCTTGGCTGTCCCCTGCTCACCTCCAGCTGTGTGGCCCAGTTCCTAGCAGGCCACTGACCCAAGCAGCCTGGGGGTTGGGGACTGCATCTCTATTGGGCAGTGGAGAAGGGTTGAAAGGGCATTAGGAGATGAGGAGGAGCTCAGATTCCCAAAGAGAAAGGGTAGGCATGGGGTTTCCTTTAATTGCTGTTCACATCTGACTGGTCAGGAGGGAGACAAGGCCAGGGAACTCCTATTTTCTGAAAACCCTTGCCCAGCTCTTCCCAGCCTGTCTCTCCCTCCCAAACACCTGTCCTCTCTCAGCTGCTCTCAGACTTGGCTCCAGCACTCTTCCTGCCTTCTCAGCCCAATTGCTGTGCTGCCTGGCCAAGTCAGAATGGGGATCCTGGGGGCCAGTTCTCCCAGCCCCTTTGTGAGTGTCTAAGGCCTGGATCCCATGTGCCAGCTGGAAGGGGTTGAGAGATTGACTTGGGTGAGAGCCGAATTTGGAGGCCGGGGAGGGGAGGCTGTGTCTGATAACATTCACAATATTCCCAGTCCCCGGGCCCAAGCTGCCTTGGTCCCGCCAGCTCCCTGCCCAGATCCTGATCAAGTTACCAACAGCAAACCTCATGTGCGGGGACCATCTGTTTCTTAAGCCCTCCAGAGAACCACGGGGTCATCTTACCTCCCAGGCTTGTCTTAATGCACAGAGCTAAGCCCAGAGGGTGGAGGGATCAGAAGGGCAGGCATGGAGGAGGCTCTGCAGGGCTCGGCTGGCAGCTGACCTCTCAGGCTTCTAGATGGAAACCTCCCCTGCCAACCCTGGCCCTGGCAGGGATGGGGGATCTGGGCCAGACTCCCCAGGAGCCAGCAGCACTAAAGGACAGTGGTGGACTGACTGTCCTGTGGGCAAGGAGGCCTTTGCTGAGGTGTGGGGACTGGCCACACGTTGTGCACTTTCCTCAAGACAGGGCGAGAAGTGGTGGTTCTAGGCCCTCATAGCCCTTGGGGTTGCCAGACTGCTCAGGCAAGTATACACCATTTGAGTGGCAGCAGCAGCAGCAGCAAGGGACACAGAGCCTGTGGGGTGGCTGCACATGTTGGTGACGGCCCCTCGCTCTGGCCTCTTTGCTTCTACCCTCCTGACCCCTTCCTTTCAGAATCACCCAGCTGCAGCCGGTAAGACCCAGAGCAGAGTCAGAGGAGACTCTAAGCCCCAAACCAAACTTGGTTCCTTCCTAGCAAGCTGCTTCTCCCTCTGACTTCCCTATTTTACTCCCCTCCCCCAGTGCCACTTTCCTTGTCATCCTTACCTGGAACCTCAGAGTCATTTTTGGCTTCTCCATTCAACCACCCCCGCTCCTATCCAACTTAATCTGTACTGTGTGAGATTCCTCCTCCCTCAAATGCCTTGCATCTTCCCATCCATCCCCTGCAACGGTGCAGAAGCTTCCTAGAAGGCTTCCGAGCCACCAGACACATGAGGGCTGATCAGTCTCCCCAGCACACACCACCTATCATCTCAACTTGTGACTCTCCTTCACCCAGACTCTATTTGATCCTGCAGTCAAGACCCTCCATGACAGAATTCTAACTTTGAACTCCAGACACAGCCCTTCTCCCTTAGATGTACCCACCATGCTCCTGCTAAAACCTCTTCTGTAATACTTAATATGCCCTTCCCCGTAGTGTGCTACTCATGCACTTGCTCATGTCCTCCAGGGGTTAAATGCTCAGTCACTCTTGACATTAACATTGAGCATCTACCGCTTAAGGGCAGGGACTGAGATCTGCACATTGTTATGTCACCCCAGAACCTTGCTAGCACTTGCACTTGGTACATACCCACAAAACATATACTGAGTACCACTGACAACCCCAGCATCCTTCCCCAGCTTGCTACCTTCACACAGTAACTCACCACACAGGGAGGAAGGTGCAGGGCGTTCCCCAAGGTTTCATGTCACCAAGAGGCAAGGAGTCTGAGCTGGCAGGCTTCCTCCCAGAAGGCTAAACACAGCCCAGGTCAGAGGCATTGGGAGGAATGAAATGACCCCATTCAATCTCTTCCAGTATGGAAAAATCCGTAAGAAATAATGCTGACATTTTGTACAGTTTTCCAGTGAGAATGAATGTGTGTGGTATGCATGAATTCAGGGCTGCCCATAAAACAGAGGCCCCATTTAAGTAAACAAGGGCTGAAACTGCTCCCATATGGAAAATAATATTCTGTATTGCTTAAGAACTTCAGTTCTGGAGACAAATGGAACAGAGTTCAAATCTCAGCACTGCCACATAGTAGCTGTGTGACCTGGGCCCATTATTTATTTATTTTTTTTTTTATTTTTTTACTCCACACATTTGATTGTACGGGCCCATTATTTAAAGTCTCCGTTTTTCAATTTCTCCATTCTTTAAAATGGGAATAATAATAGTTCCTGCCTCATACAGCTAGATACACATAAGGTGAGGTAATGTGTATCTCTGCGTGGCACAAAGGAAGCATTTGGAGAATTTTGGCTGTTAATTTAAGACTTCCTGTGTACTTCCAGAACATTTCTTTCTTGGTGAAACTTAGCACATAGTAATGAGAGGATTCCATTCATCATGTCTGGTCTAATCAAGGAGAAATGCATCTCTTGTCCTGCCCCTTCCCCCACCCCTGTCCATGAAGGGGAAGGGGAGTGGAAAGAGAGGGATGGCCCTGAATCCACCACCCCCCACTCCCACACGAGCTCAGTTGGCCCAGCCAGACAGGGTGCTGACGCTGAAGGGCGAGAAGGCAGCTGCCAGGGGGATGAGATCGGAAGAAGGAAGCCGAGTCGTGGGAAACCGGGAGGCCAGGAGAGGGGGAAGCAGGAGCATCAGCTGGGTGTTAGCTGAGAGGGGAGCAGCAGGACAGTCTTTCCCAACTGACCCCAAGGGGGTGATGTCACCCGAGGAGGAAGAGCCAGAGGCCAAGCTGCTCTCTTGTCTAGAGCGTGGGACCTTCTTAGATCCCAGGGCCTCCCTTGCCTCAGGAACTAAAGAGGGAAAGGAGGGGAAAGAGCAGTGCGGGCTGTGGAGCAAAGGACAGGACCATCTCAGAGAGAGAAAAATCCTGAAATGAACAACTAGAAATTAACAACTGGAAATCCTAGTTTCTAGGCAGTAGAGCGCTGAGTTCCTCTCTGGCCTCCTAATGTCTCAGAGTCTCAGGATCTTCCTCAGAACAGGGACCAAACCATACCCAACTTGCTCCTGGGAGTCAGCGGGAGAATTCACAAGAAGGTCTACTGGGTCCTGACGAGTTTGATCAGGGATGGATCTAACAGCCCCCTCCCTCTTCCCCACCGCGGGTCTCACACGCGCAGCTAACCCGCTCCACCCTCAGAGGGGAAGCCCTTAACAAGCATATCCCAGGGAAGGTCGGGGCA